AAGGCTCAACAGGGCGGCCAAGCCTGAGTGGAGTCCTGTTTAGTTCTTTGCCCATTCTTCCTCATTCATCCAGCAGTCACAAAGGGGTGCTTAATGGAGGTTAGGCGTGCCCATTATCCACTCACTTAGAGACCCAAAACCACCCCTTTGTGACTCCTGGATGTCTTCTCTCCACTCTTCGCGCCCAACAAAGCATCCTTTTTCCTTGGACCCCGGGGATTCAATCCCCACAAATGATTCCCAAACACGACCACCATCTGGGACTGGAAGATATATGAACCCCAGAAAGACCCCTTCTCAATCAAGCACACTGAACATGTACTCCCTTTAAGAAGTCCAGCTCGACTCCATTTGGGCCGAGCCTTCAGTCGTCCAGAAGCAGCTGCCGAAATCGGTTTGTATTCCCAGGGCAAATATATATATATATATATGCAATATGATGCCATTCTCCCAGTCCCGGATGGCAGGATTCATGTTCTGGGGGATTGGCCGCCCGGCGCCGGCGAGGCATCACACCGCCTGGCGAGCGGAGGATTGGGCGGTGAGGACCTGACGTTCGATGCTCGGTTCGGGACTGGTGACCTATCAGTTGGCAGTGTATCAGTGGGTGAGGGGGGGGGGAATCTGGTCAAAGGAAAAAATAGAACCTCAGAAACAGGCATCTTCTCAGATTCGATGATTCAGGTATGATTCAGGTTCTTCTAGGGAAAAGAACCAATTGAATAAAACAAAATCTTCTAAGATGTGCCCATTGATTGGGACCCTGCGGAGTTCTTGGACAAGGGCAGCTGTGAAAAACACATCGCTCTGGGCTGACTTAGTGGCTCGAGCACTACATCTGGTGGATCCGGCCCGTACAGTCTCACAACAGGCAGTTTGAGGTGTTCCAAAAAATGACAGACGCTTGCTTGCCAATGACCTGGTAGGAGTTTTTCTTGGTGGGGTGGTTGGTATAGTGCTAGTTGGCGTTCATTGAAAACAACGCTGGCGTGTCAAGCTAAGGGAATGAAACGGCAGGAGTCGTTTAATGATAGCAACCAGCAACCCGCAGAAAGATGTCGCGGGTCGATACCGTCAGATACCATCTTGTGCTTGACTTTTGACCAGATGTCTAGGTGTGCAGATCATGCTTCACTTTTCGACTGGTCTCGCTCTCAACACTGCTTGCGAGCCATGAGAACGACATCATCCAACTGGTCCTTTCCCAAAGCATGCTAGAGACGACAGCAAGCATTGCAGCTCCCGAGTACTCTCCACAGGCAGCCACGGCAGCCACGCTTTCACGCATTTTGGATCATTTTGGACTCCAATCTCTCGATCTGGTCGGCCAGCATGCAAGACTTGAGCTTCGTCATGTCCGCAATCGCTTTAGCACACAGGCTTTAAAAGAGGGTGAACCCTCATAAGCGTGAAATCGCTGTATCACAAGAGATGGAACAAATCAACATATCTAAAACACTATATTTTGCCTCAGTGAAGTAAAGGAAGATCCACTGGTCGAAGGTGCAACAAAACAACAGATCGCTTTTGGTGGGCGAGTTAGTCTCTGGAGCTATGTGGTTCACAACTTCTTCTCGGACGCACGTCCCGCGTGCGTGGCGTGCATGGTGAAATCCACAGCCACTGCCCATCACATGCATGTGCTGACACAAGACGCATCTGGAACATTCCAAACACCGTTGTCCAGTGGTGCACCATTTTTGTTCATCAACCCCTGCCCCTGACAAAAGAACTGACGCCTGTCGGCCTTCAAGAGACATTACGAACTAGGAATTCAGCTCCTTAGCCATCGGTCGCTTCTGCCATGAGTCTTTAGGAGGAGGGTCCTTCTGTTTGATCACCCAAATCTAGGGCTCACAAGAGAGAGATCCACGGCGGCATACCCGCATCGTAGTTGATTTGGTTTTGTTCATTTGTTTGACATAAAAAAGCAATATGTGACATATATGTCTAAAGCAAGAGCGTCCACTGTCGATTGTAAAGGGTTGGGCTGTCCTGGATTTCAAAATTGGCTAGTTCCTGGGGCAGCAGGAACTGCTCTGTACAAAAGCTCTGTACAAGAATCTCTCTGTACACCTCAAAAGCTGATTTGACAGAAGGCCACCGAAGGGAAACTCACATTAAACGCTACAGTATCTGAGGGAATGTCAGATACTGTAGCTTTAGTAATTCTATCAAATCGTAATAATTTGATATCATATCACCTGAAACCAAACATTAGACCTTGGCTCATCCGGCTGTTTCGCTTGTGCAGGTGAGTGTCTTCCAAAACCACACCGCCACCGCTGTCGTGTCGGCTGTTGGAGTGTGGTTCAGGGAGCCAACGGAGCAGGGCCCCTTACAACTCCAATGACGTAGCCAGTGGAAGTTTCTCCAAGGTCCCCCAAGGCCACCAAAGAGAACAGGAGAAGTTGTTGAAACTCCTCCAAGGAGGAAACACTAGTGGGTTGAGAGATGATGGCAAAATCCTCAAAAGGTGGTTTAGTAGTGGATCCCCATCTAAAAGACATCTTGGGGTGCCAGCGCCATAGAAACCACTGTAGAAGTCGTTGAAACATCCGCTTCTACAAATGTTGAAACCACACTCTCATGGAACTCCAAAATGAAGAGCTTAGGTCGACTGCCTGTCCAAACTTCTGGCTGCTTGTTGCCCAAACACCCCTACTTCACGTTTTGCCGGAGGTTCCCGAACGCATCCCTGCCTCACCCGAACTTTGATGTTGAAGAGGTTGAAGATACAAACATCGAACAACATTGGGAAGGAAACGTAAAACCAATGAATTAGAGAATCATGTTTACGATGTTTAAAACAATAATACACAAGGTTGTCTCTGTATTTCTCGTTTATAGACAGTTCTTTAGTTGAAACACGATGCCTCCCTCAGACCTCTTAGAAAAATCTCTAGCTTTAGCCTCACCCAATAGGAGCCCTTCGTTAAACGAATTCACACAGGTGTTTCATACGGTTTTGGTTCATGGGGAATGAAATGCTGGAAATCGTCAACAACTCACCTTTGGAACCAACACACACAAAGAAAGGAACAAAAGATCTGATTCTTCCAGCAGCCCTCAAGCACTTGCTTGAAGCCACTACCCGCGGCTCTCAAGTCGGATGACTTCCTTCTGCAAATGAGGATCCACCATTGGGGCTGCAATGTCCGCCCCCATGCGGTACTGGTGGCCTATGTTGGATTAGATTAGCTTTCTGGAAAAGGAGGCCAAGCTGGAAAAGGGAGAAGATAGAAGACAAAAAGCACACCCAAACGCTCCATGGGCTGCCATATATGCCGATCAGTTGGGGTGGTTTGGGGGGTCAACGTAGGCATATCTGGCATACATGGAGTGTATGGGACATATACATGGTAAAAGTGTAAAACGAACAAGCCAATGGCCAAGCAAGCAGGGCGAAGCAATGCCGCCAAGCAATGCCGGCGGCGGTGGTGGTGTTTGCTGGCCGCACACGTTGTATTTTAACATGGAAAACAAACAAAGAACACCTCGAGACTAATTACATCTAATTACCCAAAGACCCCTGAGAAAAGCATGTTTGCCCAAAAACCTCCTCTCCCTTGGACTTCCAAAGCTCTCCTGATTCCAACACCCGCAGAAACCACGCGACCTCGACTTAGGACGAAACCACCTGTGCATCGCCCAGAGACTGGATGAACTCCAACCACACCTTTCCCTACGTACGTCCAGTCCGACCCAGGTCCAGTCTCCAGGTCTTTCACCTCCCTTGTGTTCGAAAAGGTCTCCAAAATAGCTAGCTGCAGCTAGCTTTATTGTTACTAAGAATAGATAAGAATGCTACTATAGTAATAAGGCCAGGAGCCCCCCTCATAGCGTCCTGGTTCCAAGTCCAGTTCATGACCACGCGTCTGACCTGTGAGGCTCCCCCCGCACCGAGGCAGGTCGGTCAAGGGGTCTTCGACTGACTGGGTTCGAAGAGGACGACAGGGTTCGTCCCTTTTAGTGTGACGCTACTTAGTAGTATATTGACACTACTAGTATAAATATAGTAAAGCTGACAGGTTACTTAGTAGTATCAATATAGCCACGTGAAGAGGGTCTCAGATTTCTTAGGTGTGCCACACGAGCTGGTTGACACTACTCATGTACGTCCAATAGTGACTCCTCATCAAGAAGGCCACGTCTCGCAATCTCTGTACAGCCTGTGGGGTCGCACATATCTCGGTAGAGCCCCACTGCCATCGCGGCGCAAGAGATACAAAAGCTTGCGGATGAGGCCACTGCCAACAAAAATCCATGCGGATATCGTCTCAGCACTTGGTCATTCAATATTGTGAGACATCTACTATGACTATGGCATCATCACCAAACGCACATGGGCAAGGGGCTTCGGCATTTGCTCTGTCAGTTGATGAACCAAAGAACAGCATTAGCAGCTCGGTGAAACATACCTATAGAGCATCCTGTCTGGGTGTCCTGTCTGGAGATCCCTAAGTCGTGGGTTGGGTAGTCCGGGCACCCACAGGACAGAGGGTCCTACTGTTGACCGTAGTACTGTATCCATCCAACAATGACCCCCCTGTTGCCCCTGTTTGTCGAGGAAAGCAGTCTTCGAAGGGGCCATAGATGGGTGAAATTGTGTACTATTGTTGGATAACGAGGGTCATTGAGGCATGATGAAGGGTGTTGGAAGTCACCTGTTCAGAGATCCGTCACTAATCGCCAACCATCAGTTGGATAGTTGAACTCCTCAGAAAAGACCAAATTCGTCACTTAGTCCGTGCAAAACGTGGCAAAACCTCTCACTGGAACAATCGCTCGTTCTGCCTCAATTTTGTTATTTCCGTCATTTTGTTGTGCCCATTGTGCCCTGCTTTTGATACCTGGTCCCCCTCAAGTCAACTTAAAGTCCCAAAACCGTTTGACAACAAAACAAGTCTCTGATCCAAACGAGTCTTGAGCGAAACTAGTCCCACCATTTGGTTTTTGTGAACCCCCCCATCCTCTGGAAGGAGTCTCTGATGTTGTTTAAAGAACTCTTGAGTCTGCCCAGATCTGCCCACTCTTCCAACCGATGCCCTCAAATCCGCCCCAACGGCGTCGGAGGCAAGCGCTCACACTCCAGGCGCCCTGCAGGCGCTCTGCCTTGGAAGTTCGGTGGGGTTTGATTATGTTTTGCAGTGTGCATTCTGATGAGCGCAGGCCTAGACTTCCAGCCATTTTCAAGCTCTATATACTATACACCATATAAATATAAAATATGTCATGTCATACATCAATTTCATTCTGGTTCTGAGTGATTCACGTCCAAGCACAGAAATTCACCCCACACTTTCAAGTTTTACATCAAAACACCACTTCTAAGGAGTCGTTCTTGGGCGTCCCCTTAGACTCCACCCAAGTGAATTGATTTGCCTAGCCTAAATGACCGTTCGGTCTTGCCAGGGCTGCAGTGAACAGGCAGGTGTATGGTGAGCAAGTTTTTGGCAGAAACCACAACGCTTGGAGCTCCACTTGATTGATGGCCATTAAGGATGCTAGAAGCAGGAGCTTAAACGCTGGTGATGCTCAAGGCAGCAAGAAAGGCTGTAAAGAACTCTGGCTGCGGGTCAAAACCCACATAATCCCCACAGGAATACAAACGGCACCGAACAATTCAACAAGGCAATCCAGAGCTGAACATGTTCTTCAACTTTGACTCAAATGCGAACACGTGTCAATTGGCATCCCTCCCCTCAAATGGTAGAAGTGGATTGAGACTAGTCAATAGCACAATCCCCCCAAAAAGGTGGTTCATTCAAACACCATCAAGACTTTTGGGTGGACTTATCGTGGATCTCCCACGACCAATGCCAGTCGAGCGACCGCGGCTATGCCTATGCCTGATGCCAAATCACACGGCCCTGCTCCTGGGTGAAGTCCGACGTCAATCTGGATGAAGGTGGGAATGGTGAGAAACAAATAGGGCCCACGGGTACACCTTGAACTTATTATGGCAAGTCACTATTGGTAGATTTGGGGCTGAAGAGATTTATATACTCTATACTATACGCGATTCACTCAATGATGGTAGGGGTCCAATTCTCAAAACGGATGTGATTGAGAGTTTCCTGCGTTCCATCTTAGCCTGATCTGTTCAATCCAGAATGGTGAGCAACGCTGAGTGCCAGGAGTTTTTAAAGGGATGTTCCGTTTTGAGTTCCCAGAGTGAGTGGATGTTCTGGGCACCCTAATTAACCTCCATGGATCTCTCCCTGTTCCTCCATGGAGCTGCTGGTGCGTCATTACCTCTGTCGCTGTTCCAGGGAACTCGTCCATCAACGATCGGGTTTGTGTCCAAACGCGAGCCTTTCCACCGCGTTGGCTAACCGCGTTGGCGTGCGTTTCTTGTATCTAACAGGTGTCCACTGTTACCACTAGCCCTAGCAGGTACCGACCACTGATAGTAGCCCTGCTGGTCTTCTTTGGGCAAATCAAATCAATTCACTATTCTGCGACAAAACCTCCCATTCACCCCTCATTTCACCCCTCCCAGGTAGATGACAAAAACATGCAAAAACCTCTTTTTGCCCCGCGACTCGAGGCGACTGGTCTAAGGCAACTCGTCTACATGAAAGGCTCGTGAGTTCGGACTCGGCAGACTCTGACTGCACTCTCCATGTGACTCTGTGGACTCTCCGAGTGGCTAAAGTGGTCTTTCCCAGCAAGGTCTTCTGGTCCACCTCGGGTTCTGGATCAGGTCTCCCGTGGTCCTGGGGACCTTCGTTGACAACGAAGAAAGGACGCAGCAAGTTGATACCAGTTGTCATAATAACTATGGTTGATACCAGTTGACTCAGCAATGTCCAAGGAAAGGTTCCTTTCAGCAAGAGTATTCTACAGGTAGTGGCCATCTTTTGGGGGGAGATGTGCAAGCTCCATATGGGTTTAGTCATCTGCGCAAAGAGCCCGTCCCCCCAAAATACAACTGCCCCAATACAACTGCCCTTGAAAAGGAAACATAACAAACAACAAACCATCACCAGAACATGTCATGGAAATGCATGGCATGGCCATGCATGGCCCCTTGGATGAACATAGTTTCTTCTACATAAACCTCGGTGCTTCTACAAAGGACCTATGATTTCATTCTCGGCCCACTCTTATTTCCTTTACACCCCGGACCTTGTACTCTGATGACACAGGTGAGTACGGACACAAGTGACTGAGTCGAGGTGACAGGAGATCCAGGTCCAATGAAGCAAGCAAGCTATACTCTCCAGGTGACACAGGTCCAGGTCTCATCATATTGATGCCACCCATCCTCGTCGTCGAGAACGACTCGAACGGTCGTTCGACCGACGGTTGTGCGCTTCATGGCAGGCGGATCTGGACACCCCGGGGGCACCATGCTTGACCACCCGATCGATACTTGCACACACGTGTCCCAAGCCACACACGTCCCGGACCTTCCGTGTCAGGGGGTACCGGGCCGTACCGGGGGTGTGAAAAATGAACAGTTGTTGAGGATTTCAACCCTTTGGCGCCCGTGACTTCGTGGTGGACTGACGGTTCTGTGTTTTGGCCTCATGTTTTCTGGCTTTCGGCTGGGGGCTTCTCCATTGTCAATGAACGACAGCAAGAAGTCTATGGTGGACATGTTCATCATTTGCACATTTCGTCATACACCACCGAACTCTGGGCCATTGTTACAGCCATTCACAAGTGTTCTGGTCCAACGGAAGTTTTCACGGATTGTCAGACGATTGTGGATCAATTCGCCCAGTTGAGAGCTCAAGGCTCTGCGCAAGACAGCTGGTCCCACTTATCCTGGTGGCAAGCGGCGAACAATAGGTTGACGGATTTGCTTAGAAGGCATTCTGATCCTTTTGTTGTGTCTTGGGTTCCTTCTCACCTGTATGAACACCTCCCGGAGACTTATATCACCACGGAGATGGCTTCTGCAAAGAATACTGAGATCAGACACATTGTTGGCAACCGATATGCTGACAAATTTGCCAAGTACCACGCCTTCCAAGCCACCAGCGTGAGTCCAGATGACGAACACATGTTGAAGACCAGCATTGTTCGTAGACAGGATTGGCTGACACAGTTGAAACTTGATATCGCCTCACTCCAGAAAATCGACCAAGACAATAAACTCGAGGCTCGCTTAGCAGCTGAAGAAGCTTCAGAAGATGTTTTTGTTCTTTTTCCTCAATGGAACTGGGGCGCTCAGATCCAGGACTTCCCATGGACTCCAACGTATGTTTTTAGTGCAGCGACTATTCCTCCTCAATGGTCCTGCAAACCTCAGGATTGGAAAGTTTTGGGCTCGTTTTTCGAATGTCAACATTGGCGGCTCGCGGAGGATGCGGTCACCTCTTATGTAGAGTTGGCTGTGGTGTTTTTCTTGCAGGGCTTCCGGCTACCTTCGCAGGATACTTCCATTCACACTTTCCGTGACCTCACAACTGAAGTCCGCCAGTTTGTCACCCAGGTTCGTGGTGTTTCGGGCACTTCTTTCATTCCTGGCTGTCACAACCGACATCGAAATAAAAGCATTGGGAAGTCTTTACCGAACGGCACGATCGACGGAGCTGAGATCTTCATGACTCACGACATTAGAGTTCGCTTTGCTCGCATCCTTGCGGGTGTTTCCACGGCTCGGTTGCAAGCGTGGGCCTTCACTTTAGACAGCGCTGAGGCTTAATTCGGGGTTCACATGTGAAATCATATGTGTGGAGGATGCCAGGCAGAATGCCCGGTATGCCAGACGAGACTCACTCGCCGCGACAGGAAGAACAGAATAGACCAACCTTCCCCCCAAAAACTGACTGGTGCGACTCGTAGGGAATAAGGGAATCCATCGCCCCCAATAGGGATTCTGGATCCCACCCTCAGCCACCCTGCGAGACCGTCGCACCGGTCAGAAAAAGAACTGCAGGTCGGTTTGGAGCTCCAGGTTTGGACTCACCATGTCGAGTTCAGCAGTGCGGTGCCAATGAAATGGTTCCGGCTGACGGGTCCCTCAAAACCAACTAGTTGGACACCCAAAACCCCTTGCATCGGTTCGCGTCTGATCCCCTATTTGTAACACTTCAAAGGGCCATAGCTTCTATGGCCCACAAAACCGTGATTGGGCCTTTTCACCACCCATCTGTCAAAACTGCCTCAGGAACGTCAGAGGATCCAAAGAAAAGTCCGCTCAAAAAACACAATTTGCATTCTGCCGTCCACTCTGCAATCATTTCTGAGTGACTGTTTTAGTGTGGACACTCCCTTTCACATCCTTTTCTCACCCCTCACAATCCCTCCAATTCTCCTTCTCCTTTTCTTTCTCGAATATCAAAACCACCTTTTAGCGGCACCTCCACATACCTCCACCCCACCGTCTATCCCACCCCGCTGACGTCTGATCTCCAACCTCTCTCTGTCAAAGCGTCTGCGCCACAACCCCAAGACGTCGCTCCGGACAGGAGCTTCGTGATCTTCGCCGGGTCCGCACCCGGATGCCCTGCGCCCGACCCACCGAGGCTCCGCTCTCGCTCTCGGCGCTCGCACGAGGACGGAGCAAAGGCGTCGGTTGACCGATGTAAACCAGTACAGCCATCGGTTGTTGGGATGATCTCTATCTGTTTGGTGGAAAGATCTTGACGAAAATCATCCTACCCAAAGTAGAGGCAAGACAATCCAGGCAAGAAGTCTAAGAAATATACAGTATACCAATCGTTTTAAATCGTTTTAAGTAAAAACATTGACATGTCACTGTCTGGGACTTCTCATGTCTTTTCTTGGTTCCTTTTGGTGAAGGAGATTTACCATAAACCCAGGGGAAGTGATGTTGGACAAAAGACCACGGATGGGATCTGGAAAGATGAGAAGGGTCAGGAGAATCAGTTTTGAGACTTATACAGTCAAAAAACAAAGATTTATGAATCCCCCCTCTTAGGGCATCAAATGTTTGTCAACACACACTGGTGGCATCAAATGTTGAGTAACAGTGAGTCTTGGCACCTTCGTTGCTCCAATCTTCAGAAGTGTCCAAGAAAAATACCAGTGTTGTGTTGACAAAAAAAAATCAACCAATTCCCCTCATGTTCAGTCTGCTTTCCTTTACAAACACAAAAAACTTCTTAAAGTCTGGGCTATCCCTGCATTCAAGAGTCCCCATCCGCACTGCCCGCGGCCGGTTTTGACGAACGCTAGGTTTGATCTTCGATGGGGGGTTGTCCCCCGTCTATCATTAACATGAAAGCTAAGGACATACAAGCTAGTTACAGTGGTTTGAAAGGTTCGATGGCACAAGTTACCCCAAGATAGGCGGTTTATATGGAGCCATATGGAGCCCCATATAAGACATGTAAGAGACATCTTAGGCTTTGTGCCATCTACTCTGAAACCACTGTTTTCCCCCCATGACCGTGTGCTTTGCTCAAGAACTTTAACGTCCAAACATATCCATTGGACCGAAAGCGGGAGTTCCCCACCCCAGCTGACCACAGCGTGAGCACAGCATGAGCACAGCGCCTATGAGATGGTAGTGGAAGAGCTCCAGCCAATTCATGCTGGAAGGCATGAAATACCTTGGACACAGAAGACCACGACCCCTCACAGGTGCTCGCAATTGGCTTGACCACCGGTTTGGATGAATCCAACTGGAAGATGTTCCTGTTGCAGCCGGGCAAAGGCAATTTAGACCATTTCAGCTGGGTTTCAGCATACCCATGTTGTAGGTGCACTGTATACATCTAGATAGCATACATCAGAGCTTTTTTTGTGGCTGGTTTCCATCTTTCGGGACGATCTATATATACAATGTAGGTCTATGTGGGTCTATGTGCCAATGCAGGCCTCTGGGTCCATATACATGAAGCCTAGGGGCTGGATTCCATTCGTGCAAGCAAGATCAAGTAAGTGGGTATGAAACATACCAGGACCATCCAAGGGGTCTCCAATGGACTACCCCACACTACCTATAGGCTTCCATTGGGCACCCCTTGGATGGTCCAGGTAGGCAAACCTGGTTTTGAGTTCCAGTGGAGCGGCTCGCCCAGCTTCAACTCGTGGGAAGGCATCTCAGCGATCATCTCCTCAGCGAACTGGGTGCAAGACACCAAAAGAAATCAACGAGCCACATCGAACTCCTTGATGTTGGAGTTCAAGTTCACGGCTATACTGGAACATAGGATCCTTAAGCACTTCCTTATAAGCTCTATCTGTCTCATTCGAATGGCTATTTCAAGCTCACTCAAGTTCAGGAGCAATCCGACGCCCGTGAGCTGTGTGAGCAAGCAAAGTACTGTGCGTGCGATCCGTCAGGGTGGGGCCAGGCCGGTCTGAGAGAGTCGAGAGGAAGCTCCCAAAAGCTGCCAAGGCCAGCTGTCAAGCAGAAACACCAGGATCTGTGACCCAACGTGACGGAACTTGAAGGTTTTGTGACCCAACTGACCCAGCTGGGACATCTGGGGAGGCTTAAGTGATGCTCAAACTCAACGATTTAAAGGGTCACACTGAAGAACCAGGCAGTCGAACAAACAGAATGAGCTTCGGAAAATATCCTTTCTCGACTGGCAAATGAAAAGACATCCTCATGCCTTGTGGCGCGGCGGCTCCCCAACAAAACCACTCGAGTTGTCGGAGCAAAGATGCAGGCGAGCATCGTCCGAAGATGCCTGAGGATACGGCTGGGTGTCAGGCTTGGAGTGTTTATGGCAGTACGACAGGACAACAGTGCAGGTGGTTCAGGATGTTTATATTTGAGGTACATGCGTTTGTTATGAAGAACATGCATTGGAGTGTTTGAGGAAGGAATCATCCACCACCGCCCAGAAACTCATACGTACAGTCTATATTTAGTGGGTTGAAGGTCATGAGGGTCATGAGGGTTCGTTGGGCTGTATCATTGTATCATGTCTTCTGTTTACAGTACTCCTAGTCTTTGTTGGACACCTGATGTGTTTTTTTTTGTTTGTTTTTCGAACTTTCAGAAGACAATTGAGTGTTCAGGTCCCAACAACTCTCGAAGCACACGGCCCGAAGATAAAACCACAATGATCAGGCCTTCGCGGGTAAAATCTTCACCTTCTGCACATTCTCTGCCTACCCTTCCAGCTTCGTTGAAACGTACGAGACTCCCGCAAACGTCGTTGTGATTCGGTTTCTCGTACTTCTCCCGAGCTTGGTCCGAGAAACAAGAAACACTTGTCAAAAAAGTTCAACAACACAGTGAAGGAGAAAAGAAGTAATACAAAATACTGTGATACAAATTCCTGAATACATTCACTGTCAAATCTTGTGGCGTCTTCTACCTCCCAAAGCACAGCACTTGTGCAGGTGTTGATCAGTAGGAACCAATGAGTGATTCGTCACTTCCCTCTCAGCTCATTCTCCACTGCCACCGTGGCCTGACGCAACCAACTGATCGACCAAGTTCAGCGTGCCTGCAGCGCTCTCTCTTCCTCACTGATGGGCTCCTCCACCTTTGCCCTCATCCGCACGTGCCCCTCCTGCGGCGCGCGGAACGGTGTCGTCAGGCGGGGCGGGGCATGGAGTCTGGTCGTTTTCAGCCGTGGGGCAGCTGAGCTTCTGCAGCTTTCAATTGAGATGAGCTGAGCTCCAAAGGCACCAGGGAGAACCACGATGGCACCATAGGCTCAATGGATGGCAGCATCCAATTGAACCAGTCAAGTCTACTTGAAAACCCTGGTGCACATGAAGGGCACCAGATTCTAAGCCTGCTCTGCTTATATAAAAGCAACATTGTCCAGACCCAATGCTTTCTTTCCAGCTCAATTCAGGACCTATAGTAGATGCCCAAAGGCTCATTTGGCCTCTCATAGCTCGGGTTTTGACCCTCGCAACGTCGTTTCTGTGATCTCAGGTCCATGTAGCAGTTGGTTCGGGTCCAGCTGCTGGGTGAAATACAGAAGTTCTGCCCAAGGTTGGCTTGAGACCACGTCACCCTTCAGAACACTCACATGTACCCAACAAACACGGACCTCTGGACGACTTTTAGACTTCTCACGCTCCTTTGCAAAGCTCTCGTCTCCAAACCACATACAAACAGAATCAACCAAACATATATTCACCATGCATAAATCCATGTAATGACAAACAACAATAAACCGATGGGTCTTAGGATTCCAAGTTTATTGCCAAAGCTCCTAGTACCACCTACTTCCACCTACTTACTCATATGCTCTTTGTTTTTGGGTCATAGTTTGCTCATAACCAGCCAGTGGGCCGCCTCTCAAGGAGACTCCCTGGTCGCCTCTCGGCTCCCGAGTCGCTCGCCTTCTTCGCTTAGCCGGACCGACCAGGTGGTCCTGTACCCGGATGTGACCTCCAATCATAATATGGTATCCATATGTTGGGAATCATGGGGTCAAATATTAAGTATATATCCGGTATTAGGTCATATATTAACATCATGGGCCCGGTATTAGATACTTGTACCCTGTATTGATGGTTCTTAGGCCATCAAGTTGGTCTCACCAGGTATCCCCTTCCGAATCCACCAACCGGCACGACTTCAGCTCGGTTCGGCCATCCGATGCCTCCCCGCCCTTCGCCCCGCGGATGCCAAGTCCGGCCTCGTCCCGTCGGAAGTGGAAGCTCTCCACCACCAATCTGCGCCGCACATCGCGCACGTCTCGTGGTGGAGACCATTTTTGCCGATGAATGGGAGAAAACCTTCTGTGTGGTGCCTGCTTCTGGTGGTCAATTACAAGTGGAAGTTGGAGTAGTTTGATCTTTTGATGGTATTTCGGTAGTATAGTGCAGGATTTTGCATGCATGTCCTATAAATTAACAGCCAAATCCAGTTTGTAAATAAAAATTGTCTACAAATCTACCGGGCATAAATCTTCCCATTGTGTTGTAACTGTTTGCTCAGGGGAGAAATCTTGTGAATCAATACCCCTCAGTCCATCTCGGAACAATCCGGGGGTCTGCGATACCAACATCTCCCCAGTTTGACGCAAAATTGACACCCCTCCACACAGCGAGGATTACCCTCTCTCCACACAGCGAGGAAGTTGACAATGGCCTCTGGGAATGATCATGGTAAGACCATTCTCAACTCTCCTCTACACACCCCTCAGGGGTCTCATGGGTGTCCACTTCCACGTTTCGTGCAGGTTAGCGGCTCATGAGCGTTCTCTGTGACCGCAGGAGCCACAAAGACCTCCCTCGGCGCCTTGGAATGTATAGCACCAACTACGAAACCACAAATCAACCTCCAGGATTCGTAGTTTCGCAAAAGCTGTGTGCTTCCTGCGAAAGGTCAACCTGCCGAAACCTGCGACAAATAGACCTCAGCTTAACCAACCTTTCGCAGGATTCGTCTCCAGATGTCACTGCAGGACATCGGGAACCTCGGCAACGTCACCTCCTCGCGCCTGCGGGTATGGAGGAAGCCCCACCTGCGACGGATGTGTCTCGATGTATCGAGGCACCGTGAAAACCGTGCCCTCACCACGACCCAAACAATCCGGACTAGAACGTTGAGCTGCATTGACCCCTCTTCAACCACCCTAATGTAGGTACATATTGCAGTCCCATGGATTGTTAGGGTCATGGTGACTGCAGTTTGAAGACCTGAAGACCCATGTCTGGAAGTTTGTCAGGTGGGTGACTATGGAACCCACCCATGGTGCCCACCTCACAACGTTTGGTTGAAGATGGTTGAAGAATCCACAAAGAAGTTTGTCAGGTCACATTCATGGTGTCCTCCAACTGACTACTGACTTGCAAATTTACGCTAACACAATCGCTTTAAACAGGTTTTAGTTTTTACTTTTTGCCTGGTTGCCATCTCTACAACTGATTGCAAGGCACAACCCCAAACGAGCACCCGAGCAAGTTATATATAGATGAACATCATGGAGAAAATCGATCAAATCTTGCTTTTGGGGGTATTTGTTTTACATTCTGTATTGTTATATGTTATATATGTTATATATGATATATGTTATATGTTATATGAACATAGATCTATCTGTTGTATGTTATATAATCTTATATAGATCCATATTCTCAGTGCCTTGGGAATCTTTGGACGTTTCTATCTCGGGAACTGCAGAGTCTACACACGGGACGTCAAGCATCCCTTTCCCCCGACAGCGTCTACACCTCGCCAAGGCACAGCATCTTCTCTTTTCCCTTAGGCGGCGTCACTGCATTCACGCTACCTAAGCCAGGTGTCGGTCGCGGAGCACCAACCAGAATTGAAAGTTGCTGATTCCAAAACACGCATGGAGCATAGATTCTGTCAGCCCATGCCATGTGATATGTGTGCATTTGATGGTTGAGGCTCATCAACGCTGCACAGCCTACCTCACAATTAATCAATCAATCGGCGCTATTCCCCACAAACTTGTGCGAGTGGAGGCACATGCTTGGGCAAAAGTCGCTATAGCGTTTCATGAACTAACCGATGTACAAGAATTCCACTCAAGGCATGGCGTCCGGATTCGCTCCATGTCTGCTTCATCCAGAACTGAATGGATATGCATGAGTTTATTCCAACCAGCATGGAGGATTCCCTCGAAAACAACTGGATATGGGGGGGTTAGGCCAGTCAATAACTCTTTGCCACGATAAGACCCGACGTGTGGTAATAGTAAGTGCCCAGGTAAACCCACAGATTTTCGAACAAAAGAATCCTGAAGACTCATGGACGTTCATAGGCAGGATATGGCAGGATCCACTCAGCGCAACCACCAAGAAAATCCAAGAATCCTAAATCCTATGCCTATACCACTACAGTAGGTCAACCTTGATCCAAGAATCCTTGAACAAGTATGAACAAATCCCCACTAGGTCACTCACGTGGATGTTCTACATCCTTCAAATCCTTCAAATCCGTTCCAAACATCCCTCCATCACAAGACCCACTTCTCTCCGCCACCAAGGACAAGACTCCCCCACCCCCCTCTCGGTCCAACACCGACTCGGTGGTCTTAAACAACACATGGCCCTCGACTTGTCTAAACAAGAATGGAACAGCCCTCCTGATCAAATCCCCTGACTAGTGTGGATTCAAACCTCTGGAAGAAGGATCCTATGGAAGAAACATCATAAACCAGTCTGCCATAGTCTACCCATTGGGCCAGGGTGTCTCCCTCTTAAAACACACACACACCCACATCATTGAATCATCCTTGAACTTTCTCCATCATCACCCAAAACAAAACACGTAGAACCGAGTGGCGAAGGCCTAAGATCGATTCGAGGATCCAGCGCAACTTCGAGCTGTTCAACGGACACATCTGCCACGAAAGATGCGAAGGGCCACAAATGCGATGGACAAGGCAGTTCCGGGCGAACATGGTGGTGCTTGGCTTGGATTTCATGCGCGGCCTGGACGCTTGGAAGTTACAATAGATTCAGTCTAGCATAACGCATACCCCAACTGTACGTATATTCTTTCGAGTAAGATGTACAGCAACAAAAGGTGTCAATGGGAAGATGGAAGGAACACAAATTCGCCCTTGAAGCACTCACTGGGTTCTTGTTGCGCGACCTTCTGATTGATGTGGCTTTGTTGGCATCTTTAACGAACATGCCCAATAGCTCCTTTTCAATACCCTATAGCTGGTACCTTTTGTGATCTACAAACCTTGGTTCCCACCCTGGCTGGTTCAAACCATCGAAGAGATCTTGGCTGGTTCCATCAATTACTATTGGCATCTGCACATGGAGAACAGAACACATGCAACGCTGCAGGTTTCAAGATCACCTGCATCCGCATCCCTACGTCGCATCCCGTTTGCCACGCGTCGCATCGCGTCGCGTGGAGAGGTGTTGCCGCGAGAGCTGTTTCACTCGTCGCGTGTGTCCGTACCATCGCCTCTTCTTTGTGATCCTCCCACCATTGATAGCAGGACTCCCTGGCAAATGATGTGGCTGGCTTCAAGGGGCCCTAATTCAGAATGTCTGACTCCAATGTCAAAAAACAAGAGAAGGAACCTATGCTTCAAGATTCAAGATGACATCGTGAAATGGTGTTTCATCTACGGTTGCCAAAGGTCTTTGGCATTTGAGACAAGCACTATAGAGGACCACCGAGGAATTGGGCTGAACAACACTCCAAAACATCCTGAGAAAAATAACACACACACACAAACCTCGCAAACACCCTACCAGGACCCTCCAAGGAGTGTCCAATGGACTACCCCACACTACCTATAGGCTTCCATTGGGCATCCCTTGGAGGGTCCTGGTATATTATCTTCATGATTCTTTCAGCCCATCTCCAGTCCAGCTCCCAACTCCCCCATCTCTCCACCCACCGAGCTTCAGGACCCCGGGCCCCCACCGGGCCACCGGGCCTCCACCACCCCTCGCCCCCCCACGACCGTCCGGTGACTTCTCTCCTCTCTTCCCGCCTGGTGAAGTCCTTCAGCTGGCTCTGCAGGTGCCGCCGCAGGGCCACGGCGTCCTCCAGCGGATGAAACTCCAGGCCTCGGTGGAACGGTGGCACCGTGTGACCGAAGCGGAACGGAACGGGTGGAATCCGGTATGGTTTGCCAAGGTCTGCATAGGTCGGTCTCTCTTTGGGGGTTTCCGGGTGTTTCTTTTTTTAAAGGTGGGTCTCTCTTTTGGGGTGGTCCAAGAATGGGGAAGGGACACCTCTGGCGTTGAGGGGAAGACCGAGTTATAAGCCCTCTCAAGACTCTTGGCTGAAATGGTGATCATACGTACCTTGAAAAATGTCTGTGGCCTTTGAGCCAGGAGTTTTTGATGCTGTAAGTCGTCAAGGAACATGAGAACCAAAAAAGGACCTTATATATAGATTGGGTAAAGATTGGTTACAGTGGTTTCAGTCCCCCAAAGGTGGTTTATCTGGAACCCCATCTAACATCTAAAGGACATCTTGCGGTCTGTGCCATCTACTCTGAAACCGCTAGTTTGGTCCGTTTCTGAAACTCCGCCAGGAAGCCGGTGATGTGCAGTTGCACTCCATCTTCCGTCTGAGACAAGCTGAAGGAGACCTGCGCAGGAAGTATGATGCCCATCACCACAGGCAGGATCTTCCAAATGAGGCCTGGCCCTACTCAGTTCTTGGGGCTGGCCGGAACAACAAGCCGAAACAATTCACTCCTACAAAATAGATCAAACCACACATATTTTGAACATAAGAGATTTGTCTGTCTATGTTTACCATAGCTGAGCAGGAATCATGACTCAACACTAAACCACTGTAAGGTACCAGGCGCCTCAAAAAAAGTGACAAAGGTCTTCGTCCACTCAAAACAAGGTGCTTTACCCTCTATCCAACAAAGAGGAAAGTGGAACATGGCCACTTGGAAGACTGCTTTCCTCTACAATACAGGCTGTTGTCCACTTCCATGATTGTTGGAGGGAGGGTAGCTGGTGGAAAGAAAGCACTGCTTGATAACGGTTTACCATCCCACAGGCTTCGACTATTAACCATCCTGTGACAACCCAACGCAGTGAAAACAAACAACCCAAAGCCATGCTTGGGAAATTGTCCCTGTCAAAAACAACCTTCAGAACTTGCACTGTTTGATCTTCTTGGGGCCTCTTGGTGAGCTCCACCCCCAACCCTGACCTCATCCTGCAGCAACACATCGTAGCCAATGCGTGATCCTTGGTGAGAAAAGGGGTTCCGGTCGTGATTTGTTTTCATTTTCTGCAAGTTATTGTCTATTTTGTTTATATAAACGCGATTGACCACAGAAAGGCATGACATCAATTACAAAACACCCTGTGTCTATAAGAGTAATGCTGCATGGCTACATCCATACATCATCAATCAACCTACCACTGGTCTCACACATGCACCCCATACAAGGAACTAGCAGTGCTACAGTGCTACTGCTTTGAAGGAAAAGTATGCCCTTGCTCGTTCGATGGACAAGTCTCAAGTATCTTTACAGGATTCGAAAAAAAACAACCTTCTTTTTCTGTCTTCAAATGGACAACATGTCCATCAACCTGAGATACCGAGAGGAGAATTGCTTAATCGAACTCCTTTAGATGACAAACATATGCTTCCATCTGCCAATGGCCCTAGCTGCACCTTTTGAACCTCCAAACCAGTCTTCCCCTGGTGTCTAAAACTACTAACTCTAACTTGCAAGACTACAATTCTTGTAGACCAACAATATATGTATGGCTGAATGATCATGCACAGCTGTGGCTACAAGATTCATGCCGGAACCAATGCTGGATCATCCTGCCTGTTCATCCTGGTGATCACAAATGCTACAACTATGAGACGTTCGGTGAAGTTGGTACAGCTAATTGAATCAGCTGTGTGACCAAACTGATGTCGGATCATCCGGTTTAGCTGTTCACCTCCTGGTGACCGAGGACACACATGGTTCCCCCCGAGCCATGCTCCGGTCGGTCCGAACCCGTCCCCATCAGGCGCGACCATTCGTCCGTCGGTGTCACAGAACTGCGAGCGACGCGTGGCAATGACCCCGCGGACCCGGTGGAGGAACTGCACCTGGTCGAACGGGGAGGATGGATTTTTAGGACAGAGATTCACCACTTGCGACTTTGAAGTTTACACAAGCCTCCAGAGGAAACCTGTTGGACGATGGAATGTCAGGACACAGATCAAAGCCAATCCACAAGCAGTCACAAGACGGGGTGATATCCATGAAAGTTCGGGGTGCCCAGAACATCCATTCACTTAGGGACTAAACACCACCCCTTTGTGACTCCTGGCACAGGTTTTGCTTTTCCGGTTTTTGTTGGCAACTTTCAGGATTCTCATTGTATGAATCGTTTCCATGGATCCGGGAGCTTGAACGCCAAGCTCGAAAATGGCTTGCAACTTCCAGGACAAAGACTCCGCACAGATTTCGGGTCTTTGAAGGTCTTTGAGACTTTAGAGGCGTTCCGGAGTTTCCAATGGATCCAGGCTGCCAGGTCGCTGCCGACCCGGGCTGTTCGCTGCGATGGATGTCCCAACGATGAGGTTCTGTTTGAAGGTCTCTTGAGGGCTCAAGGATGCAAGTACACAGCTTTTCGAGTTACTAAAAGAAGTTCTCTTCAGGTTCATATCAGTTACCATCAACAGCAGGTTTTTTCTTACCCCTTCCGACCAAAATACTTTTTGGGAATGTCGCTCCGCATTGTTTTGCTGTGTATCTCTGCAGTTTCTCCCCCTATATGGGACAAGGGGCTCTTTGGAAGCACATGGATCCAGAATAGATCCAGAAGTGCGATGGTTTCATCAACATAGATCGACGGTGTGGTATGCAGTGCGATGGATAACACATATATAATAGCAAAATAGATCTGGCGTGCGAGGAAATGGATCCAGGAAACCCATGGACGATGGTTCGCGGAAGATGACGCGAAAATGGATTCAGATCTTGGGTTTGATGCACGCTGTGTCAACGTTCAGTGTGAAGTGACTCATGAGATCAAACCTTGAACCCGTGCCGAAGCATTGAAACCTGTCTTCACCGACCCAGGATGAATCGTTCTTCACAGCCGTCTGCCCACGGCCCGCCTGAAGCGAGGTTGCCAGCGTCTCGGGCTCTGTGTCAAGCCTGGGCGTGGATGCGGAACCGCACAAATCTCCAACATGATGTGCATTTCTTGGGGGAAGTTGGTCAGGTCGGGTCGCTCAAACCCAAACATCATCAAACAAAAGAAACAAATCATCATTCATTGAATTGAATCCCATAAACCACAAACCACCTCGCAGACTCATCAAAGCTGAAGCGCATTTTGCATGGAAGTCGATGTAATCCTCCTCTTGTTATTGGTGGTGGAGTCCCAGGTTTGACGACGCATAAAACAGCTGCAGAATCAAGGTATGTGCATGTAAGTTCAGACAGATTTCGACTTCTTAGAAGCCATTGTTGAACCGGACTTCCACTTTTGAGGATGAAGACCACACGGAAATTGAACTTATAGTGACTTGGTCATGATGATTGGGATGGCGGTGTTGGGTGAACCTGAATTCAACGTGGAACTTGTTGATCGAAACTTATCGCTTTGGGCGCAAGAGAGCCTTGTGCAGAGCACAAGGTTTCTTACAGTCTGCCAGCACTCGTAACCACAAAAAACTCAGGTACACTGGCGGTTGAAAGAAAAAGGAATCGGGCAAAACTATGTTGTGCAACCATGTGCAACCCGAGAGAGTTCTTTCGGGCTCAACAACCCTTTTCAGCTGCTTTCTCTGGGCAGTCCCGGTGATAATTTGTGCCAGGCTGTAGCAATCCGCGATTTGCGTGTAAAGAAGATGCAAGGTGCAGGAGGCCTGTGATGTTTGTAGAGTGCGGACCCCAGTACACTGACAGTGAATGGCAAACTTTCTGTATTAATGTACAAATGAACAACATCTGCAAAAGACATCTGCTTGACCATTTTTGTGGCAGTCTTTTATGGGGATCCCTTTCCGCCTGAGTTGGAGGGACAACTATATCACCTCAAAATGATCCCCCACTTCTGGATGGCGATGGCCCCTTAAGTAACTAAAAATCAAGTTGCAGTCGCTGATCCTGCGAAGAACCATCCTCAGCCCACCCATCGCACGCGGTGTTTTTCGCAGGTCACTTCAAGTCAAAACGTCGCGTCTCGGCACATATGGTGCATTATCGTACTCTTTCAATATCAATCTCTAAAATCTGACAAAGCACTTTTGGACACCGATGCAGATGGGTCAACGCAGTCAACGCAGTGCGTCGATGTAATCGACTCGTCTCGCTACTCGTCGCCATGGCCCTGGGCCCTTGTTGGTGGCCACTCCTCTCCTTGCTGGTCGCCTCGTTGGGTGATATATGGTTTCTTTCATTCTCTTTCGCTCTCTTTCCAACAATTTATGGTCACTGTAGATGGGTCGACGCCCCATAGAGGGTTGGCTCAACAGCGCGCTGCTCGTTGGTCTCGGGTCTCAACTCCTCTTCTGGCCAATCCACCTGCATCAACGGCCCCAGCTCAACATCATCCCCGTCCTCTAGATCTGTCTCTACTCCTCCTGAGGGCAGATTCGGACATGATCACAGGATTGTCAAAATCATCAAACACTTAAGGCTTAAGGTATCAAGCTGGGCGCCGCTCGTTCCTTGTTCCTATCTGAATTGACGTGACATTCAGGCGCTTCGTGTGAAACAAAGCCCTTTTCAGCGAATCAATCGTCCGCCTCCGATGTGTATTCTTTACATTGCCTGGTGAACATGCGTGCATTCATTGTTGCGATAACATGTTAAATGCTCTGGATGTGGTCGTAGCATGGTCATGCGGCATCAACCGTTGAGGAGATCACAAAAATACAGAAAGCAACAACGCACACAGAAAAAAAACAATTGTTTAAAAAGCGCACATAACAAGAAAAAGGGGGAGTGGAAAAGAAACAACAAAGCAAAACAAGGAACCATAAAACACTCAACAGAGTTTGAAAGAAACCACTAGACCACCATATCTTGAAAGACTTCTCTCAGCTCCTCTGGGTTCCTGGCAAATGTCTAGAGACCCATGGATGATTTTGCCAGGTTGTCACATCTTTATATAGTGGTGGGGAGGTCACCAAATCGTAACTGACCTTTCTTTCATTTCTAGGTACCTTGCAAAATGTAACTTGCAGTGTCCCGATTGCCTCGAAACAGTAAGATACACTTTGAAAGGCGAAGTGAAGTGTAAACCCCAAAACAAGCCTCACAAAATCTGTTTGTGTGAGGAAATCCCAGAAACTTGTCACATTCTTGCGTTGTCTTTTTCATGTCGTCCAGTTCTCCGACTGCATGGATTCCAGCCAAAAGCTTCGTTGCGAGTTCACTGCGTCAGTTTTTTAAGCACCTCTAACTTCAAAAATAAACACGTCAATGACCTTGAATGAACATTAAACGGCTTAATAATATAATATCATGATTGTGAGTTTATGATGCTTTTTGAAAGCCAAGTCCAAACCTTGGATAGCAGGCACTAAGCCAAATTAGTGCCTGCGAGGCCTGACACATGTTTCATCATTGTGAACCAACCCGGAAGCTTGTACCAATTAGAGGGGTTAATAAACACGTTTGAGGCTCCTCCGTGTCGAACCATTGCTCAGGAGATGGTGATGTATGATGTTTGGGGCTTTTGAGCACTTAACAAAAACAATATATAAATAGCTCCAGCTCACAATATTTACAAGGGCATTGCATAGTTCCAGCACATTTGTTGAACTCTCTTTCCTGAACACCACTCAGCTCCGGACGTCGGCATCGGCAGATCGATGCCACCCAGCGCACAGAACGCGCGGCGAAGGCAGTGCACCGTGGAAACAGCAACGGCCAGGCTTCACGCCAACGGCCTCTCTCGAACAGAAACAAACCCAAGTTCCACGCCGAGATCTGTGTGTTTGGATGCTCCGCACCGAGGGTGCGTTCTTTGGCCTCGTAGAGGGGCTCTGCTTCCCTGGGACGGCCCATGGCCTTCAAGCACGTGGCCAACTTTTTGACAGAGATCAACGTGTTAGGATGTTCGGCACCGAGGGTGCGTTCTCTGCCTTCGAAGGCTCGCCTGTGGAGGGGCTCTGCTTCAAGCAAACGGCCCATGACCTGAAGGCAGCTGGCCAAG